CCTTCTAAATCTTGACACATTCCACTTTATTTTACGTTATTTCAATGTTTTCAGCATGAAATTAAGTAAGATTTATTATTTTTACATATTTATATAAAATAAAGATAAGTTGGAATACTAAATATTTAATCAGGATTGTAATCTAAAAATAAGCTCGTCACCAATCTGTTGGAAATGAATTATTTTTAATTTTGTTTTACATACAAGACATTTAGGTTATTGTTAAAACGGTAAACTTTAAAAATTGTAAATAAATTTTGATAAATATGGAGCTAAAATCATAAATGTTCAAACAGGTCCCAGTTATGCTATTACGACAGTTAGTTAACTAACGCCACGTGGTGCTGGATGACAGTAAAGGCTGGAATTTCATTAACTCACAATTAATGAACATTCAATGTTAACATTCAATGGACAGTTGGGTTTGTTGTGAAGTACTGTGTCACTTGGCTGGGCAGGATTGATGGAAGCAGCTCAATATTGAATGTTGGTGTTGACTCCTCCTCTCTACTACTGTGGACAGTTGGGTTTGTTGTGAAGTACTGTGTCACTTGGCTGGGCAGGATTGATGGAAGCATCTCTATATTGAATGTTGACGTTGACTCCTCCTCTCAACTACTGTGGACAGTTGGGTTTGTTGTGAAGTACTGTGTCACTTGGCTGGGCAGGATTGATGGAAGCAGCTCAATATTGAATGTTGGTGTTGACTCCTCCTCTCTACTACTGTGGACAGTTGGGTTTGTTGTGAAGTACTGTGTCACTTGGCTGGGCAGGATTGATGGAAGCAGCTCAATATTGAATGTTGGTGTTGACTCCTCCTCTCTACTACTGTGGTCAGTTGGGTTTGTTGTGAAGTACTGTGTCACTTGGCTGGGCAGGATTGATGGAAGCAGCTCAATATTGAATGTTGGTGTTGACTCCTCCTCTCTACTACTGTGGTCAGTTGGGTTTGTTGTGAAGTACTGTGTCACTTGGCTGGGCAGGATTGATGGAAGCAGCTCAATATTGAATGTTGGTGTTGACTCCTCCTCTCTACTACTGTGGTCAGTTGGGTTTGTTGTGAAGTACTGTGTCACTTGGCTGGGCAGGATTGATGGAAGCAGCTCAATATTGAATGTTGGTGTTGACTACTCCTCTCTACTACTGTGGTCAGTTGGGTTTGTTGTGAAGTACTGTGTCACTTGGCTGGGCAGGATTGATGGAAGCAGCTCAATATTGAATGTTGGTGTTGACTCCTCCTCTCTACTACTGTGGTCAGTTGGGTTTGTTGTGAAGTACTGTGTCACTTGGCTGGGCAGGATTGATGGAAGCAGCTCAATATTGAATGTTGGTGTTGACTCCTCCTCTCTACTACTGTGGACAGTTGGGTTTGTTGTGAAGTACTGTGTCACTTGGCTGGGCAGGATTGATGGAAGCAGCTCAATATTGAATGTTGGTGTTGACTACTCCTCTCTACTACTGTGGTCAGTTGGGTTTGTTGTGAAGTACTGTGTCACTTGGCTGGGCAGGATTGATGGAAGCAGCTCAATATTGAATGTTGGTGTTGACTCCTCCTCTCTACTACTGTGGTCAGTTGGGTTTGTTGTGAAGTACTGTGTCACTTGGCTGGGCAGGATTGATGGAAGCAGCTCAATATTGAATGTTGGTGTTGACTCCTCCTCTCTACTACTGTGGACAGTTGGGTTTGTTGTGAAGTACTGTGTCACTTGGCTGGGCAGGATTGATGGAAGCAGCTCAATATTGAATGTTAGTGTCGACTCCTCCTCTCTACTGCCAGAGCTTTGACAACTCATAGCTAGGATTTAGAATATATAGGTCGGTAGTAGCTTTTAGGAATACTAAAGGTTAGTTTTAATTCTGAGATAAAACCTAAGCTTTTATTTTGTATCTAATATGGAGTTCTTATCATAATATTTTTTACTACGTAGATATTATAAACAAGAAATTTTGGAGACTCTTTTATGTCTTTCTGGAAAAAAAACATATAAATGTTTTTTTTTTTTTTATTTTAAACATGTTAAATATGCTATTCAATGATATAACAATCATCTTACAGTATCTCAAATGCACAATTGAAAGAAAAAAAACTAATGTTGTTGGCAAGACGAATATATTTGCCAAAAAAGTCTTAGAACAATAAGAGGTACTTTGGTATTATACCGCCCACACCTAACAACAATAACCTAACCTCTCATAACCTAACCTGACCTAAGGGTGGCTGGATTAACTTAGAAAGATTTTTGAAGATTTTTGTGAACTCGGAATCGGCATGTTCTAGGCTATATTTCAGTTTGTATCAGCACCAGGCATTTCATTACAAGCCACTTCAGTGTAAATTGGGGCTATAAATAACGGACATGAAACGCTGCAATAAACAGACCATGTTCTGTCAGTTGTTGTAAAACAGCATCAGACAGTTCTGAATCCTCTTTGCCTATTCCTCGTAAAACAATTTACTGATTCGTCAAATATTTTTCCTTTCACCAAGTAGCAAATTGTGTGGTTTTTGAGCCTGATTTAACGTTAATCCTATCAACAGTATATTCATTAAATTATATATTATTTATAGTTCTACTATAGTTAATTAAATATTTGTGTGCTCTATATGAATGCAAGAAACGTAAATCAATTTCTACTGTCACATGAATTACTTAGTCATCCATGACAATGACTATAAAATTATTTTAACTTGACGCCTAGCTTAATACAATTTTACAGTTAGTTAAGTTTACATTAAAACCACTTCCTTAAACATATTATCTTCTGGGTGGGTATAGTTATCGCTCACAACAATGCTCAAGTATGTAGTTTTCTTGATGCTACTTCTTTTATATAACCCACATTTTCAATCACTCTTAACCCGGAATGTGAAATGCTGCTTATCCTGCCGAACTATTTAAAGATTTACAAAATTAACACTATACAAATCTTCGTAAATGGTTAAAGAAGTGTTTAGATAAGAACAAACCGAAGAACTAAACTAAGGCACGAATACTAAGCATTGACTTTTTCTTTTAAATGAGACCAAAAATCCGCAATACATTCTTGATCCTTTACTCTCGTAATATCCAAACTCAAAAGTGTCAATACTTTTCTACACGTCTACAATTATTTCACTTAATAGAATATCAATAACTAGAAACGATAGCCTGATAGAAAACCAATTTCAGTGCATAGTGTATATATTTTATCTAAAAATTGTGAGGGCGAGGCAGAGAAATCCTCAGAACCAAAAGAGCTAAGTTCCAAACTAGGAGTTGTAGAGCGTCGTTCACAAGCGGTGCTGTCGACGTGGGCTTTGGCCCAAATTGCCAAACATTTAAGTCCTTACACGTTCTCCAGAGGCCAAAACACCTCCAAAGATTAATAAAACTAACATCTTGACCTTATTGGCTGTAAAACAAAATATAGCTCTTGTATTGTGTATGCATGAAGCAATATGCAAAGTTACGTTGTACGGAAAAATGTCAAAAATTACGTTGATTAATAACGCAACAAATATACAAATGTGAGTTTGATTAAATATATTTGATGTTTCAATACGGAAAAAATAAGTTAAATCGTTAGTGGAATTGGAAATGATGTATGATTTGAGAGTGCGGAAATATATGCCGTAAATTTGAGTTGCAACCCCTCAAAACTTTCCTACTCGTAACATAATAATTGTTTATCTCTTCAAAAATATTCTATACCATTCTAGAAAAACGTTGGCTGATCTAACAAAATAACGGTTTTTCTACCAAACCAAGATCTATGGTAATTGATAAAATTATAACTTCCATACAAATTTACATTGATATAACCCTGGTTTTCATAAAAGAAATGTAGTAGTTAAGAATAAATAATTGAAATAGTGTGGTATATAATAAAAAAAAAAAACTTAATTGTATAATATATTAATTGTGTTTGTTAAATTGCAGTATGGATTAAAATTAACTTTAATAATACTATAACTAATTCAAAAGTTTTATTTCCAATAAAAGTTTAAGTTAAATCTCCAAACTATTTTTATATACTAGATATAATATATTATAAAACGTTTTGCATATGAACTTGATCTATTTGATTTATCAAATGTAAATCACCATTTTACAAACTCTGTATAAACTATACGTAAACTTTGGCAGCATTAAAAGTTGTCAAAGGAAGCCTCAAGGAGACATAAATGTTCACGCTTTTAACTGATTTAGTCCAAAGTTCCATGGCTCTTTTGTAACATTAAACGCAGCATTAAATCGTATTCCATCTGTAATTAAGCTTCATTGTGCTCCGAACTTTATATTTGTTTCATGAAAAAAAAATAAATTAACGTTACATAAAGACTTTTGGCAGATTCCCGCAATAACAAGAAGCTATTACCGTAGATATCACAGTTATGCCTAAGCCTAGCATCGAGTAGTCTTTTTGTCTTAAAATGATAAAACTTGTACTTCTATGCATTCTATGTATTCTGTTATCCTATGGTGGATGTCTGATTTCTGTAGTTTGCCTGGATATAAACATATATGGATAACATTTGGCAAGCAACCTTATGGAATGCTGTACAAGTGACTTTAAATGAACAACATACCATGTGCATACAACCTATTTAAAACCAACAAAACAATTCCAGTAAAAAAATGTATAGCTTATTTAAACATTGTTTATATTTTCAACGTCTTGATGGACAAAAAAACAAACAATCAGCATTAATTTCATAAAAATGCCTATGTCGTCAAGTGTTTGTATTGTGTATACTAATGCCTCTGTACCATTCTCTGTAACAATGAGAAGTGATTCATCATCCTGTAACAACATTGTCTCAGAAACATGTGAGGTTGATGACTCGAGAGATGGAAACTTGTATTGTATCGTAAAAACTAATGTGATCAATTGTGTCCACTTGTTTTTACAATTTACAAAATTTTAAAGTGAGCAGATAGGGACACTGTTGTTTATAGAATAAACAAAAATAATTTGATTCTATTTGATTCTAAGTAAATTTTTTTGTTTATTTTCAGAACAATGGATGCTTGTAGTCAGCTGCTTCAATAGATTGAAAAATACACTATTCCAACATTATGGTAAGTACAAATGTATGCTTGATATTTGTAAAAGATTACTTCATTTGTCTTGTTTATTTAAATAATTTTAAAATGTATATAGTTATTCAATATATTTGAATTTAAATAGACAAAGAATATCTACGGTCACAATACTAAAGAAAAATATTCCTAACGTGTTTCCAAAACTAAAATTCATTAAGTCATTTGGTTTTTAATTGACTTAACCAAATGACATTTTTGGTCTTTAAGTAGTGGCTTATATGGCAATGTTTGCCATGGTTAACAACAATGAGATTGATACGAAAAGAAATACGGAATTTTGAACTCATAATTTCAGGTTGTTCGATCCACAACTCTATGGACACTATTAAACAATACTGCATTCCAATTTAAAATAAAAACTTCAACATCGTTCTAAAATACATAAAGAAAAATACACAATTTATAGAAGATTTTGATTATTCGCCGAAAGATATTTTGTAGTTCCCTTGTAAGCGCACGAGAGTTTAAGGTTAAATAATGTAATTATGATGAGCTAATGTATTTTTTTTTTACTACACAAATCATTTTATGTACACATTACATTACATATTATATTACATATGCATTTATATACATATAAGAGCTTTAACTCGAGGGAATTTCGATGAAAAACTATCGTAACTTGGTAAGAGTTCCAATTTTCTTTAAAACGGATTTAACTTTCTCAACAATCCTTACTGCTTCTGAGCACATATGGGTTTGTGGATTTAACCTCATATCTTGTATTTAAATAAGCTGGTTAAACCCAACACGTTAACTTATTCACTACTTGAGAACTTTGTTTTTTTTTTCAAACACATTGGTAGCTTTTCTAAATTAAAACCTTGAGGTACACAACGTAGGCCTATTCTATTGTATTTGCCTGTGTTCTATTGTATTCATTAACCTGGATAGTTTTTTATGGAGGGGTTTTAAAGTGATGTGAGCTTTAGGGTTTTCACTGAATCAAATATTCAATAAGTGAGCGTATTTTTTGTGGATTTTAGTTAAAACAGATTCACTTTATAATGTTTGTCGCAGCTAAACTGAAAACACTGCAAATCAACCTTGTTCATGTAGTAAAAACCTGATCTAGTAGTTCGTTATTTGTGTATAAATTTAACAAATAAAATGTACTATATTTTAATTTCACATGAAAATGTGTAAAATGAGGACGATTTAAAAATTATCCCTAATATGTTTAGATTTATTTTAAATCCACGCAAACTAGTATCCATCCGGATGTAAAACACAAGTTTTTAAGCTATAAATTAATTAAATAATAAGTTAAGAAACAAATAAACTCGTTTGGACCTAAAAACCTCCTCATTTGTCTTGAAATAGCTATCATTGATAATGAAAAGATATTATGCTTAAAACAATATCCAATAGGTTCCATTTTAATTTAATACATTTTATTGTAACCTTTGACAAATATGATGATTCAAGATACTTGGCGTGAAAGCTAACTTTGTGTCAAAGTACACCAAGAGTCTTGGAATACTTTAGGTGTTAGAATTAATGCATACTTTATATGCAACACCCGTTCAAGATTTACTCTTACACTCATTACTATACAGGGAAGCTTCATGCATTGCATAACTCTGCATGCATATTGGTCCCCAGATTGAATAACATGAGTTTGTCAACAATATGTTAGGGGAAACTGCTTTGCTGTTATCTAAATCCTTTGTTGCTAATAGTGTTCAAAATCGAAACCCTTATGAAAATAAAAACTCTTAAGTACTTAAACAATTGTTCTTCTTCCAAATGACTGAGGCATTTGTTAAAATATTATATTGCACATTTGCTTTTCCAATTGCATCTCATTTACAGAAACTAATAAAAAACCAGGACTGATTAAAATAACGAAAATTAATTCTCTGTGAACTGGTTGAAATGTAATATTTCTAGTGACTCAAATATTATAAACATAAAACTGTAAATAAAACTGCAAAGGTCACCGTTAAAAAACCCAAACGTATTAAAGGAATTTCCTTTTGATAAAATTACTTACTAGATCCCCCCATAATATGTTGAACCAATGATTGAGCCAGTGAAGAGGTGTTTATAAACAGTTCTACCATTGTGAAGAAGCAGAAACAGATCTATTATAAGACTCCTCGAGCTCTGTTTCACCATTGAACCAATCTATCACTATCGAATGTTCTCATTTAGTCAAGTTGCTATTTATTCTTTTTAGAGATAGATACTTATTTTAGTAACTAAAAGTAAATCTCTGTTGGTAAGCAAAGTAATGTAAAAATTGACAGTTTAAAAAGCAAGTGGGAAAGTTTAATGAAATGTGACTAAAATGTCAAATATTGTAAGTTGAGGTCATGTAAGGCAGGGACGTCCAGTCACACATTTAAATGCTTTTTGTGGTTGTTGCATCAGAGTGAAAAGTGACACTGTGCAAATTAAATGGCACTGCTTTGAAAAGTAATGTACTGTTGACGAGTAAAATGACACCTTATATAAATATCGTACATTAGTTTAAAAAGCTGGTGAGATTCAGTAAATGCTTTTGAGAACTGATTTAAATTCTGATGACTGGTCCTACTACATACCATGTAAATACTCAACATCAATAAAGAGATAATATTCTAAGGACTATCCATATATAACTAGGATTCTTTTTCTAAACAAAAAAATAAATTGTTTTAATAGGGACAAATTTCTTGTTTACGAAACATTATCTCATAAGATAACATTGTGTCCACCATCATGACACACAAGCAGTTAATTAATTCAAAATTAAAGAATAAAAAATAAAAAAAATACTCCATTTTGTTGGTTATTATATGATTAAAGGTGTTTAGATTAGTAGATTAGTTCATGTTTATGTTTAGATTGTTTAATGATTAAATATTTTAGTTTACTTGTGGTTTCTATTATGGAGTAGTGAAAACAAAGGTAGTGTAACCAAAGTTTATAAACGGAAAATATATTTTTGTATTTCCACCGTTAAGCTACTAATCAAGGACATCCTAATTGAATCTGCCTTGTTGTCATTTAGCACTAAATCCCGCACGTTGTTCGACAATTGAATAATCACATGGGTAAATTGAAACATGTTTTACTGCAAACGGCTTGCCAGTAATTTACAATCTACATTAGTAAGCAAAAAAGTTCAAAGACGTAATATCTTTTTTATATTTTCATACAACTGTTGTATCTGTTGATTGAGATAATAGCAATAAATAGCAAGAGAAACGTTGATATACTTAAAAAAATGCTTCACTAATAGTATTTTATAAATTATTCAAACAAATTGGCCCTATATAAAGTTGCCTAAACAATCCTATATAGGATATAAAAAAAACTTTTGCAAAACTTATGACAGCTAGCCTGGCATTACTACTTCACCGAATTACACGCGGGTTGTACAAAAAGAAAGGTCATCGGTCCTATATGTGTAGCTTTTATTTGTATATCGAAAATATTTATTTTAATTGGCTCAAAAATGGAAATTCAACTGTTCTTATGTAGGTTTAACATGGGACCAAACTTTTAAGCTCAAGACAGCCACCCTGACCATACTAACTGGACCGATTTGCATGCGGATTGTAGAAAAAGGTTATTGGTCTTATATGTGCAGGTTTTATTCGTATTTTGAAAATATTTATGTTTATTGGTCAAAAATAAAAAAAATCAACTGTTCTTATGTAGGTTTAACATGGGACCAAACTTTTAAGCTCAAGACAGCCACCCTGACCATACTAACTGGACCGATTTACATGCGGATTGTAAAAAAAAGGTTATTGGTCCTATATGTGCAGGTTTTATTTGTATTTTGAGAATATTTATGTTAATTGGGTCAAAAATTGAATATTCTACTGTTCTTATGGAAATTTAACATGGGGCTAATTCTATATATTAATTGACAAACATGCTTTTTGAAAACCTCTTTTCTCAGCTCGTGTGCATCGCAGGGAAAATATACGCATACTGTTTTGATTACGCAGAACGATATTTGCCTTTCGATGTGCAGAATACCTTTAAAAATTAAAATAGGCAAAAAAAATTGCACAAAAAAGAAATTAATTAAAACAAAAATTACATGGGCTCTATGAGTTGCCATGTTGATGAGGTAATACACAAAATATAAACAGAAAAGCAAAAGAAATGGAAGAAATTCCAATCACATGTTTTATCTACAGCGTGGGGTGAAAATAGAGAAGTTTTCACAATACATACTTTTGGTCGAGTTTTTGACCACGGGGTGAGCTCTAGTATATACAAATATCTACTTAATAATTTATCTGCTGGAAGTTTATTTGTGGGGAGAAATATTTAAAACATACGGCATTACTCATCTTTTATCTTGACAAATCTTTTATTATTTGAAACAACATAAAGCTTAAGGTAGGCTTCAAACCAATGGGTTGGTATTATCAAAGTCTTTTATTTGACCTTGGGACTGTACAGAAAAACTCCTACGTTCTCACTGCCAAACCAGCGCACTCCACATTATCAAAGAGCATATAAATAGAGAGTTCTATGACGGTTTAATTTTGTTTCTTTTGATTATCACACAAGAAATACGATGGAAAAAATTGTGCAATAATTGATCATTAGGTTTCTTATACTTAGCACTTGAAGTACATCGTTTGCGTGTGTAACATATAATTTAAAAAAGATAATCAAAATCTTCGTATGCATTTAGAGAACCTGGGAAACAAATAAACTGTAAAATAAATACATGACCCAACAGATACTATTGTACGAAAGACTTCTGAAAAAAATTTATATTGTTTAGGGATTTTATTAAATATATTATTTGTATTTTCAGTAATCTTTTATGACAAAATAACCGTTATCTGTTTTAAACGTCAAGTGAGTCTATATGTCGGTGTGCGCAATTTTGTGGATGATTAAATGTCTGTTTATCAGATAATTACGATTCCAATTTGTTAATCCTTTTATAACATTGATTGTTACCAACCCTACTCCCAACACGGTATATACGTTATTTAATTTTACAATATGTTTGTCATGATATAACTAAAAAACTTAGATTTCTTATGTATAATGGTCTGATTAATATTTATAGTTATGTTATGTTTAATAGCAAAGTAAATACATATTTTTCGTAATCAGGGATGATACGTTGATATAATTAAATAAACCATATTATTTGTATATTTTCTCTTTTCTCAGATGGCGCATAAATGATAAGAAAAATCAATTAAACTAACAGTGAGTATTACATTATCTTATATTAATGTATATAATTTTATACTATCTAACTATTTTATATATATTATACTTATACAATTTACCCATGCAATGAAAATATTTAAATCCATAAAACGTGGTGCAATATGTTGAGATGGTCTACCAACTAATGCCAATATTCTGTGTTAAGTAATAGATCAATCAGTTGTTTGCTATGACACCGCATTGATTATATTTATTATTTAGCTCAATACACTGTACCCTCTGGTGAGATGGCCCTGAACCTATTTTCTTTGCTTCAAATTTTTACATTACATGGAAATTATATTCTTTGTATATTCTATGGTACTCCCTTTCTAAAATGATATTCAAGAAATTTTGACAATAGAATATTGAGAAATCTGTTTTATTCCATTCAAATTTATAAATGCCAATATAATGAAAAATGTAGAGACCAGTTAATATTCTACATTGTCATAGAATATATTGAATAATGTCCCTTATACACAAATTATAAAATATTTTTAATATTTTAGTGTTCTAATACTTCAAATATTTATCAAAACTTAAAAAAAATAGACGCAACGTCTTGATCAACTCCGATAACACAACATAAGTCTTGTCTAATGGACACACCACTTAATTTGATTCATTAACCACCACTTAATTGTATAGTTATATTTACAAATATAACTTTATTATCTTTATAATTTCTATTTTGACGACCTTTCTATTTTAAAACTTATTTCACTTAAAAGATGATCTTTGTATGTTGTCCCATATATTAAACATCATATTTAACGTCCTGCAAAAACTTCCAGTTACTGTATAATGGTTATAAAATAATATTAGCTGCTCAGTTGTTGACAACCATTTAGATTTCAATATCTTATAGTAAAGATCGTATAGTTAATCCTTAGACAATAGATGAACTTAGCTAACATCCCAATATAGCTACAATATACATCAATACAGCTAACATAGCCAATAGATCATTATAGCTGACGGTCAAAATGTTAATTTATTGTACAATTTTGGAAATATTGCTACCAAAATACTATTTAAAACTATTACAATTTTAACTTGTTATCTCCAGACTGCAAACCATGGATGAATGAACTATATATATATATATATATATACTCTTTTAGAGCTTAGGATTTAGTCTTTCTGCCAGCAGGGCGTAGTCATGGAGGGTTTGGATGTGGTGGAGTTTCTCTCACTGACCACGGAAGCAGCTGTCAACCTCAACTTCTCTCTGGAAGACTGGAACCTCACCTCGACCACTGCGTCCTCTAACAGAACCCTGCATTACATAAACGTTACGTCTGAGCTCCCTATAGAATATGCTCAGCCCATGTATGGGTAAGTGTACTGTAGTTATGTCTTGTATACATCCATCATGTTATACATCCTACTTAATTAAGCTAAATAGTGGATTCATTCAAAAGGAATCTAGAGAACTAGGGCAAGTTGGTAGCACCCAAAACTTTAGGATAAAGGCATTCCTTTTGTGGTTTCGGATCCTAGTGCCTGCCACTAATTTTTATCAGTACAGTTTATCCGTGTACTGTACTGGCTCATCCTTTGCTTTACTGGATACGTTCCATGCACGGAATTCTGTAGCCCATATGGATGAGAAAATGCAAAGTAAATGTAAACAGAAAACGGTACTTTCCTGTTAAAGGGAACATTCATTATCATCGATGATTTTTTTCTCGATATATCGATATTAACAAATCGAAACATATCAGCTGACAATTACGAAAAATATTGTTCAGTATCAACAAACATTAATGAAATGAAACTGTTCTAAGATAAATAACCTAACATAACTAACCAAACTTGCTGTAACATTGACAAATTCTGCGTTTATACCTTGCCTTTTATCTTCAAACCCAAAGGGAATTTTTAAATGGTACACCAAGTTTGGTTGGTTATGTTAGGTTAGCTTAGAACAGTTTCATTTCTTAATCCATATGATAGACTATTTTAGCCTAAACAAGATCAGTTAGTTGTTGTCAATTTGTAATGGATCGGAAAACAAAAACATCGATATATCGAGAAAAAAATCATCGATAATAATGAATGTTCCCTTTAACAGGAAAGTACCCAGAAAACATTACCTGATTACTTAGTTCGAGGATAATGTACCACTAAAACATTTCAATATGAAAACTTCCACTACGATTTCCTTCATACATTTTCTGTTTGCGTGAGGTAGGAAGCGGTCAGAAGCGACCAGTCAACGGGCGTTGACCCAATCTCACTGGGCACACTCCTTCATCTAATGTTGTACAGTCAAAAATAGTGAAAACCTTTTTCTACATTCTCCTGGAAAATGCTGAACAGCTGTGATACACAAGTGTAGTAACTAGGAGAAACATCGAGGCTAGAATGGTATTTATAGTAACGAAGGCACCCTCTACCAGTATTGAGAAAATCGCGTCCAAATAACGTTTCCGGGTTATCTGGTTTTAATTGGGGAGAGAGAAACTCGCCTACTAGCCTACTTTATTGGGCTTGAATTTTCGGCAAGGATAAAATACACCTTAGAACCTTACGGTACACACGCAGAAAGATGTATCATACTTGTATCATTACAGCTATGTGATGCCGTTTCTGCTGCTGATCACCATTGTCGCCAACACGCTGATAGTAGTAGTACTGAGTAAGAGGCACATGCGCACCCCCACCAACGCCGTGCTGATGTCTGATAACATACTTGTATCATTACAGCTATGTGATGCCGTTTCTGCTGCTGATCACCATTGTCGCCAACACGCTGATAGTAGTAGTGCTGAGTAAGAGACACATGCGCACCCCCACCAACGCCGTGCTGATGGCGATGGCTCTGTCGGACATGTTCACCCTACTCTTCCCCGCCCCATGGCTCTTCTACATGTACACGTTTGGTAACCACTACAAACCCCTCACCCCTGTTGGTGCCTGCTACGCCTGGGCGTTCATGAACGAAGTCATTCCGGCTTTGTTTCACACTGCTTCCATCTGGCTTACGTTGGCCCTTGCTGTACAAAGGTAAGTAATCTTTCGTGTTATTTATGAATATGACAGATAGTGATAGAGCATAAGTTATGTTTCAAAAACTAACTGTTGGTGAAGCCAGATGCAAATGTGTGTGTGGATATTACAAGAAAAAACTAGAAAAATTGTAAAAAAATATAAGAAGCAGCAATTATAGCTACATTTTATGTTGAGATGCTATATACTTCAAACCGTTTTAGGTACAAGCTATACCCTAATCTTTACGCTAACAATTTGTTATATTCTAAATGAGATATCGATTTTGAGAGAGTTGTAAAGTAAGTGAGATATAATGAAACAAGTTTTAATTAAAATGTCGACCATTCAATTGCAATTAAAGGAGCGCTGTTACCTTTTAAAATTACACCGAATTAGAGATTTAATATTCTAAGTATTTGTATGTAGGTAATCATTGTTATTTCACGATAACCAATTAATTTAAATAAATAGCACGAATCTGTAAAGTTCAACTATTATGAAACAGATACATTTGTGAATCAGAAATGCATTCGGTTCCAAGCCATACACATGCATACTAATTAGATTATTTTGTTAATTAGTTGTTGAGGTACTCTGAATGGGAAGCCTTGAACAGAGAACGTAGCCTCTCTTGTTTCAGAGGGAATTCAATATTCGGATATAAATACATTCACGGGCCAGAGAGTGGGATCAGCAGTGATGTTAATTAGTTTTTGCTGATGGAGGGAAGTTTCTATCGGAACTGGTTGGGATTGATAATCCTCCGCTAATCTCGCCCATTTTGAGTTAACACTTTGTGGATTTAATACGTCCGGATTATATTTAATGGACTACAGCAAAGCACTTTGACCTTTTATCCCTAATTATTATGTAGTTGGCAAGATACAATCTATTACCGATTTATGATTTATGATGGTATATTTGCTTTTTTTAGTTTTTTAGGAGAGGTTATAACATTTTTCCCATTTTATGGTTGTTGAACCACAGAAAAATTGGTTGAGTAGCAGATTATCAGTTTACTATTGTTATTTTCGTATTTTGAAATATACCATAAAGTTTAGTTATACGTTAGTTATAGTTTAGTTATGGTGTGTACAAACTCAGGATGTATATTGTAAACACAATTTTTTTAAATCTAGTTTACATTGAACAACAGAAGGATAGTAGTTTTATAACTCTCTAACTGTACTATTACCTAAGATTTACAAACGAATATCATTTCACGATATATACTACTAGTTATCTATTCTAGTCTAGATGTGAAACTCATGTTTAAAGAATACTAATCGTATAACCACAATAATAACTGGTTGTGGTTACATCTATGAGCTTGATTTAACTTTTTATTAAAAGCTCAACATGGGTAAGAATTTTTAGAATTCAAGGTAGCAACGGACATTTATAAACATACCAGTATAAGAAATTGTATCTTCCAAGCTTAGTTATCTTTAATTGCTTCTTTGCTTCCATACTCTGATTTTTATTTAAACACTTATATGTGTGTCCTTTAATTATATTTTTATAGATAACTGTAGAAGGTTTATGTAGCAGGTGCCCAACCATCAGACACGTGGACAGTCTGGTCTGATAAAACTGGTCCGCAGACAGCCCCACACACGATACGACGTGCCAGACACCATACCGGGCGGTCTGGTCTGGGTCTGGTCTGGTAGTGTGTGAGGGGCTTAAAGTGTACACTAGTTCTAAACTCGTTATATATTCTCTACGTGTCCAAGACAGAATGGTCCATTGTTCTACGTGTGCCACTCTTTACCAGTTCCTAAACTTGTTAGACATTTTCTACATGTCTTACATCGAATGTTTCATTTGTTCAGGTACATCTACGTGTGCCATGCTCCAGTAGCCAGGACGTGGTGCACGATGCCTCGAGTTCTCAAATGTGTCGCTTGGATCGCTGTGCTGGCAACTCTACATCAATTCCCCCGGTTCATTGACAGGGTGTATGAACCCCTCACCATCTCTTGGAGAGGCCAGGATGCTGTGACAGTTTGTAGGGTAAGACATATGCCTATTAACATTGTTAAACATATACAATCATTGTTCCATGGTTGGTGTTGATAGTTTTCAAACTTGTTCTTTTACATTTTGACTTAAACTAACCGATTGTATTAATTTCTGATTCAAAAGTTTTTGTTGGCACATTTTGATAATAAGTTAATCTGTTTGTAGCATGATTATAGTGGAGTTCATATAACCATAAAAACATACGTAGGTAGGTACTTTAGTTTAGGGTAATTAGTATATACAGCTACTCTTAAATAAATAATACATATCACACTAAACCGTAACTATGCTGTACAATACTTAAATTATTAGAAATATTTAATTTTTTGAACATAACGAAATTAAAGTTAATATCCTAAAATGGATATAATATTTAATTTTGTTAAGCTTTGCATGAAAATAAAGATTGTCATTACTAGTTTTACGGATTTTTCAATCAGTCCTTGATATAGTTACTCTTAATTAAACCAAGATAATACAGGAAACCTTTAATAGTAGTTATGCTTAGCTTAACTACTCATATTCCTGGAAATAAAAATCTGAACCTAACAATACAAAGTCCATCTATTAAACCTCAATTTGGTCTAGCTCTGAACTAAAATCCATCCGATATACCTTAACTGTTTTATTACTCACAAATTGTGTGAGTCAGCGCCTCAGTTGTTAGCACCACGAATATATAAATTGGTATAAATACCTGCTTCTGTGTAATCCAATAGCTGCAAAGTCACAAGACTAGTTTCAACTTCATGAAGAAGTCATCTTCAGTTGTGCAGGGGGTTGTCACAATCACTTCATCAAAACGTTGTTGATACACATGTTGTACGACGACCTTCTGATGAAGTGATTGTGACATCCCCTGAAGCCTGAAGGTGATTTCTTCATGAAGTTTAAATTAGTCGCGTGACTTTTCAGCTACTAGATTACACAGAATCAGGTATTTACAGCAATGTTGGAGATATATTCAACGTAATCCGGAGGATAACATAAAAAATGAAAGCCCTATGAACTTTGGCCCTAAGCGGCGATGTCGTGGGTTCGAATCATGGTATCTGCCTCTACCTTTTATCAGCGCAATCCTCATTTGTATTATACCTATATTTGTATTGTACGTTCCAAGTGTAGTTTTTGTTGGCAGGAAAATGCAAAATCCGAAGAGGTCACCAACCTCTTAAAAAAATAATAACATGTTATTTTAATTCATGTTTGACTATTAACAATTCCTCCCAAACTGCTTATCCAGGAGCGTTTCGCCTACTGGGTGGAACACTGGCTGTCCCTGGACGTCTACTTCACCGTATACTTCGGGTTCCGAGTGATCTTCGTACACATGGTCCCCTGCATCTGTCTGGTGGTGCTGAACGTGCTGTTGTTCCGAGCGCTGCGAGACGCCCAGCTCAAGCGGGACAAGTTGCTCAAGGAGAACCGTAAGAGCGAATGTAAGCGTCTGCGAGACTCCAACTGTACCACTCTCATGCTCATCGTCGTAGTCACTGTCTTCTTGTGCACCGAGATACCATTGGCTGTTGTCACGGTGAGTCTGAGGTTGTATTGGTTATGTGATTGATTATATAAATAGTGGAAAGCTAAAGTTGCCTGATAGCCGTCAAGATTTTTAGGTGTACCCAGTGAATAGTGTTTGTCTTTAGAATTGTTTTGGATCACAAATAAGTAATTAACAAAATTGTAAGATAATATGTGTGACTTTTAGCTCATGTTCTCTTAGTTCTTTGCTAATGGCCGAGGCCAATCTTATATGGTGATCGTGTGTAGCAACAACGTGTTTTTACACTTGTATTAGTAAAATGATCAATAACTGTAACCTATGGTCTGTATATAAACATATCTCATAGTATAGCTATTGGAGCTAGGAAATATGCCAACTAATACGGATTTTAATCTTCAGAAGCTTAATAAAAATACACGATCCTATTCAATGATAGTTGTGTAATTCAACCACTTGAACAGGTGCTTCACGTGATATCCAGCAGTATCAAGGAGTTCTTGGACTACCACCTGGCTAATGTCCTGGTCCTATTTACCAACTTCTTCATCATCGTCAGTTACCCGATCAACTTCGCCATCTACTGCGGCATGAGCCGACAGTTCCGAGAGACGTTCAAGGAGTTGTTCATACGAGGAGCTGTTCAGGTACTGTTTAGTTGACACCTTTCAAGGAAGTTTGTAGCACAACTGCAATTTTGTAGTGAGAATCGAAACAGTAGAAGTTTATAAATTTTGTAAAATATGCTATGAACAAATTCTCTCACCAGGTAGTAAGAGGGTTCAAGATAAAAGTTACTTTACTCAAGTGGTTTTAATGACCAATATTGCTAAATAGTAGTCCTTAAAAGCTAACTTGAAGTTCACTGTTTTGATTAACGGTATGACTATATTGACAAGTCCTCATAGTTGACCAAATAAATCACTAACAAAAGCAGATTTGTTCATTCGGCTCAATTTCTCTACTAATATAGTAATGTACTACACCCTATTTACACGTGTGCAAATTTGGATTAACTATGCCCTTTAACAATCAAATGTATAATATCTCTTGAAAGGGGTTCCAAAAAAACTCCAGTCTGTGTGGCTATTACATACCGAGTTGCAACTGTGACTTTTCACAGGTGACAGGACGCAACGGTGGGGCAGTTCCAGGTATTACCTAGTCAACGGTCTCCGGACGTGTACCAACGAGACTGTTTTGTAGTTAAGCAACCGCCATAGCGCTCAGCTAGACAGCAGTAGGGAGAAAAGCTCCAGCACTGTAACTAATACATATTGAGGTGCAACTGTTACTTTTTACAGGTGACACGACGCAACGGTGGTGGCAGTTCCAGGTATTCCCTAGTCAACGGTCCCCGTACGTGTACCAACGAGACTGTTTTGTAGTTAGGCAACCGCCATGGCGCCCGCCCAGGCAGCAGTAGTGAGAAAAGCTCCAGCACTGTGTAACCGTTACATATCGAGGTGCAACTGTGACTTTGTGAGATATTAGTGACAATATGGAAATTTCCCGTGAAGTGATATTAGTGAAAACTCTTAATGAAGCATTTTATTATTTTTTATACTTGTCTCTTAAAACGTGTTTAGTGTTATAGTTTGTTTTGGAACGTGTTTAATAATTTTGGAATTGTTAAGTGTTTATGACAATATTTCTTAAACATAGTATATCCAAGGATACTGTAGTATGTTTCTTTCAAGATTCAACCAATAACATTTGTGTATTTCATTTCCAGAAAATAGTCCAGTTTTATTTGTTTCTAGTTTTATAACCATGTAGTTTTGGTTTAGTAAAATTTATTAACATCTTTAAACGTAATTATATGAATTTAATTATACTGTTAAACTTATTGTCTTACAACTTGGTTTGACTTATGCATTTAATGTCACTTTGATAATATTATTCTGTAGTTTGTAAAGTTTCAAGCTTTGTTTGCTTCAACTGATGGAACAAAGGTTACTAGAACACAATTGTCTCCTATTTTCCCAAACAAATATACCTAATGCTTGTACTTTTGATTTCGGTGTAAATATTGACTTTTGTACATAGGAGCGGTACTCTTAGGTATTGAAAGACTGTTAAATTTCAAATACCTCAGCAAATATGTAACGAAATGATATTAAAAGACAAACTACTAGATGTAATGTGTCTGTTCTACTCGGTTGCTCTAGTTTAGCGTCACCTTCAACCCACCATGCTTAGTCCCAGTGATGGGTTGGGTGGGTTGTATCTGAGCCCCGTAGACAACCCCCCCTCGCCATCGCAACCCCCCCCCAACCGTCGCACCCTCCAACCTTCCAAAGCACCATTCCTCAACTAATCGCACCCTATCCTCGTCCTTCAACGCTCTGTATAGTCATGCTCGCTACGCTTCTGATGTTTATATTTTAATATGAGTGTTTATATTGTTGGAAATGTAATAAGTCTAGGCGTTTGTTGTAAATTGTTCTATCGTAACGTTATTTTAGCCATTACTCTTTAAAATAAAACTATTAAATTCAATGTGTTTCTTTTTCCTTGAATGTCTTAGTTCTCAATTTTTACCAATCTAAATAAATTACCATTTAAAGGTTGGGACGCTAGAAAGTATGTAACCTAAAGAAATAAACAACTAAAAAGTCCTTAATTTACAAGAGAGTTTTATGAAACAGATTTAGCAATGACTTTAGATACTGTATGACAGTTACATTTGCACTGTAGTGTAATAATAGAAGTAATTAAAATAGAAACTAAGAGTTCAAATCAATTACCTTAAATAGAAATTTAAGTTTTTACAATACTAAGAAATTTATCATTTTATTCACCTGAAAGAACAAAAATATATACGTCTAATAACACTTGTGATAATATATTTACTTATATATATATTTACCGTCTTGTGAGTCAACAGTATAAGTTTAAATATATACAAGTATTATTAGACGTATGTATATTTTTATTCAGGTAATTTAATAACAGGTACGATGCTGATCAAGAAGTTCTTCATATTATTCAAGACTCCCACCATTGACTATTGGATACTGAAGTATCAGTCAAAGTTGTATTAATCATAGCTCCCACGTAAAGTCAATCAAGAACTTACATTCTTTGACTTAAAAATATTGTTAGTTTTAATTTAATATTTTCATTTCAATATCATTATTCAATTGTACATTGTACATTGAATGTCGTCAATAGTCTTACCTAGTAAATAAATTTGTTATAGGAATAATTACTTTTAAAATTACAATTTATACAATTAATAGAAATAAAGACAAAATAAGCTAATTGAAGGTGTAAAGCAAATTTCTCCTAGTCATTTTTTAAGGTTTTAGCGAATTTCCCTATAGGGAAGTAGCTATTACCGTAGGTATCACGGTAAGACCTAGACCCGGGACCGATTTACTTTTTCATTTTGATGTCCCCAGAGGCCAAAAACACCATTCGTTCAAATTTATATATATATATATATATATATATATATATATATATATATATATATATATATATATATACGTCCGTGAACGCGATAACTTGAGTAATTTTTGTCCGATTTTGATGAAATTTAGTTTAAAGGTGAAAAGTGGGATAAACTTGAATGAGTTCGCGAACCAGCACGATCGGACCATGGGAATGGTGCTTTACGGGGGGTTTTATGGGGTAAAAATTGGTTTTTCTCACTTTTGACCCTCAAAACACAAAATTTCCCGATTTTTCTTTAAATATTTTTAAAGAGCTTAAAAAAACAAATAATTTAGTATATAAAAGTATTTTTGTTCGATTATTAGTAACGGGGAAAATAAAAAAAAATGTAAATTTAAAATTCCCATGTTATTCTTATGGAGAATATTGTCAAATAATGTAGTTTGCCTGTTTATGGATATATTTTGATCAAAATTGGCAAATTTATTTATTTTGTACTAAGCTATCAATATTTTACTCAAAAACACACTTTATTAGTTTCCTTGTAGCAGCAAACCTAGGTACTCGTTAAACCTAATGTCATTAAAATATATTTAACTGAAAATCAATTCAGACAAATGGAAATTCGCTTAGTCGGCAGGTTTGCTGCGGTGGGGGTATTTTTTTCATTTGATGCTGCCGGTTGTTTCTAAATTATTTGAAAGAAAACGCAAAATCTTCTTCCGGCAGAGGTTTCTTTTTTATTGGAAACGAAGATATGTTTGCGACTATTTTCTCTTAGGGCTTCCCCTCTTGTAGTATAACATAACTGTGCGTTATCCGGTATACCTACTTTCTTTAGCAATGAGAGCCGTTGCGAAAATGTATTGGACAAAGACAGTTTTTTTCTTCAAAATTGTAAAAATTAATTTAACAATGTCATAATTTTTCAGTTTACACAAAAATCGGTGCACAATAAATACAATATAAAAAAAAAATATGATTACACTCAATAAAGACTCTGTCAATGTATGTAACGGTTGATTGCAACTGTTTCAAAGGATAAGTTATTAGTGACAATTACGTAATGGGGAATCCACTGGTCTAGAGTAGTATTGAGAGGATATAAACAACTCTGGGCTCCTGCGGCTAGTTGGTCATTAGAGTAACTGGGCTGGACCAGACGATTACATTACAGTATCGGGAGTTTTCAAGTGCAATAAAATATCGTCTCCATTCCATAACAAAGAACTGGTTACTTGCTAACGAAATAAATGCTCTAAGCCTCTATTAATTTGGAAGAGTGAGGATACTGTAAATTAAAAACGATGTTTGTACAAAATGTTGTAAATAATATAAATTTATCTGCTAAAGAAAATAAAGTTACACCTATACAAAATGGTAAAAATTACCACAATTTCCTATGATTTGCAAAAGTATTTATTCTCTTTGAGTATCTTATCAGTAATAACGAAAGTTTAGTCAACTGAGTTGTAGCTCGTGTTTGATGATTAGATGCACATTAGGAAGGGGTTTTAAAAATTAAGGACAATTCCTAGTGAGCTAAATAAAAACGTTAACTTGTGGTTGAAGTGTATTAACTATCTTAAACTAACGAAGCATAAACAATGTTTCATATTTATGAAGTTTGATAAATAAGTGTTGAATTACATAGTGAATCAAATTCTAGCAAAGTTAATAATTAAGAATCAAATATGTATATTGTCTTTGAACCATTAACAGATGGCTCTGTCTAATAGAAGATTTACGTTAGATAGTGGCAAGACCAAGTTTTCAACGTTTTTATTAGAACAATAAATTGTGAAATATTCCCACTTAGTAAAAACAAAGATATAAATAATGAGCTAAAACATACATTTAGCTCACACTTTTCCCAATACATAGTTCGTAGTTAGAAAATAAATATTTTATACCTATAGGACTGTGACCGCTTTAGAACGATAGTGTTTATTAATAGGCCTACTATTTATAAATATTAGTAAAAGACAAACTTATACAAAAGAATGGTATTGATCTAAATCTTGAAGCTTAAAATAATATAAAACCTGTGTTAATATTTCCACCTTCCTTAATGAGGATCTGATGTCATGATAAGCCAACCTCTCACTATTCCTACTTCAGCTTACGTTACTCTAAGTAATATTATAATTGAATCTGGATTTGTTCAAGAAGATTGTGTATAATATCACATTTTGTTAGCACCGGGAGCTTGTATGGAAAAGAACACAAGTAGGCTTAAAAAGTATAACTTTATTTAGTGATTTGTGATTTTTTTATGAACCAAAGGTAGGCTATATAAAATAGAAAAAGCTATGTTGAAGTACTACTATTACTTAGAAAATAGACAACATACTTATATGTATGTTAAAGAGATCCTGAGTAGTTATACATCTGAAGGCCAAAACATGAAACAAGATTTGAAAATATTTGTTTATGGTTGTAAACTGGATCTATTCGTTCTAGACATTATATTGTAATCTGTATATCTTAGACTTGAAGGAAACCCAAAGGACATGATGGGAAAGAAAGTAAGGGTTTTGGTTTAATTACTTTCTATGGAAAGAAATGTCAGAAGTTTTACTTTTAAGATCTAATAAAGTTTTCTTGAACTCATATTCTATCACGTAACTGAACCTTACTGAAGAAATTTATAACACTTTACTCAACAACATAGAATAAGTTTTGTTTCATTTTCGAGTTGTTCTCAGTATATTTCATGCTTTGTAAAGAACCTGGGAGTACAGTGTTTTTCATTTAACTTTCGAGTAGAGAAATAACTAAATATAAATGTTCTTACCCTTAGAGCTGTTTTTTAATTGGGCACAAACAAAGGTTGAAAACAAACAACAGCAACAACATGCTCCTAACTAGAAATAAGTTAGTGTATGTATTTTTTTCTTCTTTGAATAAAACAAATTCAGGGTAATCGTGTAATTGTGAGGGATGTAAAGTTTTTCTAAGTGAGTCCGTACAGTATTTTATGCGTGCTTTATAAAATAAAATATTTATTTATGAGAGCATCGAATTTATGATACTTTCAACATGATGTTGAGTTGTTTTTAATGAGTTATAAACGTCAAACAACATCAATAAGAACATTATTTAACTTCGCTATTTCGCCAATGGTGGTTCAATGGTGGTGGTGGCAACTATTTTAAAAATAGTTTACTTTTCAAGCAAAGGATATTTTTTGCAGTCATTTCAGACAACATATGTTTTCCTCGCGTGTCTGAAAGTGCCTCTTACATGAGCACGCGAGTCTTCAACTTTAGCTTATCTTTGTGCATATTTTTGGCATAGAGAGTTTATTTGCATTTAATACGACATGAATTAATCAATTGTATATCAAATATCTTTTTTATAAACCCGAACAGAAAGTCTTTATTTTTGAAGAAATATTATTTTTTTAAAGTAATTGATTCCCAAGCTCTAATCTAGAGCAAAGGAAAAGCCATCAGCTGATTTTCCCTTTCCTTTGATGAGTTCTCGGTTTGCCCACTACAGTCGTTAGTGTTTGTTACAGATTATTTCTATTATCGAATTTAAATTGAATTCAAAATTGAATTTAGCTTTTTTATTGTTCTACAACACAAAATGTGAACAGAAATACACATTAGCTACAAATGAAGAACAATGCATATGCTGTGTCTAGGCTTGTAGTGCGTGTTTACTGCACAATGAATATAAACTTAAAGTTGAACTTCTAATTTTACCTTGTTATGTGGGTCTACTATATCCTTTACACTGTCCATTTTATTAGTTGAACATTGGTTTAATAAACGAATTGACTAAAATTAATTTTAGCAGGAAATATAATAGTTTTGATTTTATTGAAATCTGTTATTCTGTATATGAGTAGGTGTCGTGATGAAAAGTAACGTTCATAAATTAGTGATTTTCCGGTGCTTGCTTCAGTTATCCTCGTCCTCAGATTTTCCAAGCATGTGAAAATAACTTTAACACGCTTGACTTCGTCTCTCACGTGAAATATGGTTGTTCCAGTATGGGGCTTTGCCTCACACATAAAATTTGAGTACACAACAGAAATAGCCACTTTTGGTAGTAGTAATGAAATATGATAT